CAGCAAAAGCTAGAAACTCTAGCTTTCCCAGGCCTACAGGGAAAGGCAGTTGGGGGAGGGGGAGCCAGGCCTGCAGGGGAGGACAGTTGGGGGTGACCCAAGCCTTCAGGGCATGGCAGTTGGAAAGTAACAGGCCTGCAGGGGAAGGCAATTAAGGACGACCAGGATGGCAAGGGAGGACAGTTAGGAATGACCGGGCCAGCAGGGAAAGGCAGTTGGGGGCAATTGGGCCTGCAGGGGAGGACAGTTAGGGGCGACCAGGCTGGCAGGTGAGGGCAGTTGGGGGTGACCAGGCCTGCAGTGAGGGCAGTTAAGGGCAATTAGGCAGAAGCAGGCAAGTGGTTGGGAGCCAGCAGTCCTGGATCAGGCCTAAACGGTCAGTTGGACATCCCTTGAGGGGTCCCAGATTGGAGAGGATACAGGCTGGGCTGAGGGATTACCTCCCCTTCCCCCATGCATGAATATCATGCACCGGGCCTCTAGCTGAAAGATAAAATAATTAAAATAAAATTTGGAGATGATAATGTTTTACATGGTTCTTCTCTACCTAGCCCTTTTCAGCATTTTTATCACAGTGCTTTGATTAATAACATGCCTATCACATTTGCTTATGGTCATGTAATTTTGACGTGTGCTATATTCTGAATTTAAAGAATTGTACAATCTGAAATGATGGTTAAATTATAAATTTCATATTATACTTACTAGCTACTAGGTACCATTCTAAATTTTCAGTACATATATAATTTTAGCCTCACGACAATCTTCTAACCAGATACATTTTCAAAGAAACAAAATTTACAAGACTCCTTATGAGCTTCAAAACACAACTCTAAGAGCATACACAGAAGTGAAAAACATAACATTGCCAGGTTATGTATGAAAATTTATGGGTTTTAAGTTATTGTAATTCAGTACCAATAGTTAGTAAAATGTGTTTGACAAAAGAGCTTCTCTGATTCTTAGTCTTATTAGTGGAAACATAGTTGACCAGAATAAGAGAGATATATTGCTCTTTCATTCAGCAGCAGATGTTTATTAAATGAACATTAGGTACATTCCTTGCAGACTCCACCTGAATATTTGTGTTTAGTAACACTTTGAGCAAGGAAGCAGATTGAGAGAAAAGAGTAAGCTGGCCAAGGAATTAAAAATCTTGGTTGGAAGGACTGGCCTGGAACAAAAAAATGGACAGTGGTGTGAAAGTTGGCAGTGATGTGAGTCCTCAGCTAACTTAGAGGTTTGTCACTTATGGAGAAGGATTAGACACCAATATGGTTTTAAGTATAGGCACTAGAAGGTAGATGATAGAAAACTTTGGAACTGATAGAAGGACTGTTGAAGTGTTAGATCTCCATTTAACAATGAAATGGAGCTGCTGTTTTGTAACCCCAGGGGCCTATCATCATATTAGAGACTCAAAGTTTAGGTATATGATTAGACTAAATGACCTGTACTATCCTTCCATCCAGAAGAGTGATTCTTTTAGTGACTCTTCATCACTCAGAGTAATGGGCGAGGAAAGGGGTTCAGAAGCATTGCAACCATTTTGGGAAAGCCCATTCATATTCTTTTCAGTAACCTGTGTTTTGCTGCTGTGCCCACGCTTGGAATCCTAATTTCCTGTACTATTAAATCTAATTCTTTATTTAGAATTGAATGGTTTGCAGGGAGTACAAAAAAGTAGGATCCATCTCTTTTTAGTTTTTTGCACTTCCAGCCATCACAGCTTTTCTAGTCCTGTAGCTATTAGAGTGGGGGAGGGGGGAAGGGGAGAGACTTATTAAAAAAGGTGAGTGTGTGTGTGGGGGGGGCAAGCTCCAGATAGCCTGTCCTTGTAAAAATCTTCTGTGTTAAATGTATCAAGGATATAAAAGCATATGAATAAGTTTCAATTTAAGTGTTAAAGAGAATTGGAGTCCTTTAGGTAGAAGAAATTTATTTTCTTGAATGATAAACAAATTTTGTGAAGTAACTGGTGTAGCATTTTTCTTACCAGGAATCAATTGTGGTTGAGGGATGTTCTGCCCATTAGTGTAGTTAGATAAAAGTCTTGCCACATCCCATTAGTCTTTGAAACGATTTCTTGTGACTGAGCATAGTTGTTTGAAAATACGAGGAGTGTTTTGTTTCATAAAGGTAGAGTGTACAGTTAAAAGTGCAGACCTAGAACCTGAGTATATTTAAGTTACAAATGGGAGACCTTCAGCAAGTTATTTAATCTTTCTTTCCCTTAATATTTAATGGGGATATTAACAGTACCTGCTTAAGTTAATACGTTTACCGTTTATGTAAAGTGTTTAGAATGGTACCTAATAGCTAGTAAGTGCTGTATAAATCTTAACTGTTGTTATTTAATGTGCCTATATGAATATATTTTTCTACTTAGCTTCAAAGCTGAGATCTTAGTTTATTTAAAAAAATTATTATATGTCCATATAACCAAAAATCTTATGTTTTAGTGGCTCAGTAGTATGTTAACATGAGGATTGTCATTAAAATACTGTTTCTCTTTAAAAGATATTGAATAAAAATCTTATACTATTCACAAACCCCCTTGAATAAGATATAATCTCAGGTTTGTAGACAGGCTGGTTAAAAATCCTAATAGAGCATTGGAAAATAGTGGTAAGAAATGTACTCACATTAAAATTGTGGGAAGACTTTGCCTATATCATTTTCTTGCTCTGCGTAAGTAAATGGCTTCGTTTCCTCTCTCTCTTCCACTATAATCCCATGTTTTTTCAGGCAATAAGTACTTTGAAAAATTTGATTATAACATAGCCACAATGGATTAGCACCTGTACCCTTTTGATACTCTCATTGTCTTGGCTGCCCCCTAGAGTTGATGGAAAAGGATCTAATAGGATTAATATTTTTATCTACTATGTCTAACATTTATAATGCTCAGTAAGTTGAGCAGATGAATGACTCTCACCTTGAAGCCTTTAACAGTTTTTTGGCTCAAGATAAATGAGTTATAAAAATGATTGTTTATTCCTGAAATGTTCTTGCAACACATATACATTAATGAATTATAAATTCTGTCTAATATGTAATTAAGAGAAGTGAAGCTTAGTGGGGAAAGTTTACTAGTTCAGTGACCTTGGATGCATCCAGCAGAAATCCTTGTTTGTTACCAAAACTCTGTCAGTGGAAATAACTAGAAGACTATTGCTCTCCTATGGCCCAGCCCAGGCTTCTGTGTTATCAACTTTGCCTCTTGCATTTTCTTTTCATCTTCCTCAACTCCACTCTGGCCTTCCTCATTCACTCCATTCTCCTGCTATACCTTACTGTCTATTTTTTAAGTGATTTAACCTTTTAGTGTTGTTGGGTGGATTTTTTTGTTGTTGTTTTGCCCTAAGGTATGAAGGCTAAATGGGAATGAGCCTCAGGCACTGAATCCCAGTTCTCCCAATTCAGCACAAGATGTAGTTACTATTTCTGCCACCTACCTATGGGGAGCTTAATGATTAAGAATAACACTGGGTGAGACCTGAGTGGGTCCAAAGGTCAAAGCTTTTTTGCTTCTGTTTGGACCAATAGCAACTCAGATTTTGAAGCTAGAGCACATATTTAGACTGTTATTCTATTTCCCTATTTAAAGCTATAAGTGGCATCTTATATGCCTGATTAGGTGAAAAGTCTGCTGTATGTTGCAAACTTTAAAATGACATATGGCACTTCTATTGTTAGCTCTTATCTCCATTGAAGCTGGAGAGTGTATCCTAGAGAAGTTAAGAAACTAATCACATAATGTCCATCCATGAGCCAAGATTAGGAATCAGTAGTCCCAATTGTACTTGTGCCATTAAGCAGACATCTCCTTTCAAGCTGTTATAACTGTGGCTACTCTAAGAATATTTTTTGCCACTGCATTGATTTATTTTCAATTAATTTCAAATTAACTGTGATTTGATTCTTCAATTCCATGTGTTCTTAAATTCTCAAGTGGAGAATTGTCATTCTGATTTTCTAATCTTCCTTCTTTTATTAATATTAAGTAGATATTTTTGTTGAGCTGCATGCTATGTCCTATCCCTTCCTACTGATCTATAAGCTTTTCTATTGGCTTTCTTTATGTTTCCTGCTGCTTTCTTGCTTCATAATTGAAGGGAGGATTCAGACCTATCCAGGTAACAAACTACTGGTTCTGCATGGCCTCTTTATTACTCTGTCCCCTTATTACTATTATTACAACGAGATTAATTGTTTGCTGCTGAATTTATGATGGGAATTTAATATTGGTATATTGTTTCAAGGCTTTTCACAGAGTGCAGTGAGAACTATAAATAACCACAAACACCGGTTGCCATTCGAGAGATTTGAGCTTTGTTCCTTCCATACCATCCTTAAGCCTCTCTAGATCCTTCATTTTTTATTGCAAAGTATTTGCAAAAGTGGGTTCATTTTAGTATGGGGTTGCCACTTTTTTTTGAAAAGGCTTTCCCCATCATGAGACAATCAGCATATGACAACCCACACACAGTTTTAATTTAACTTAACCTTGATACACTGAGACAAAAATGTTTATGTCCAGAGAGATTCTTGTTCTTCTAAACTACATTTAATTTTCAAATAAGCCAACTACTTTTTTATGAAAGAATCAATATCTTTATAAAACAAAACAAATTTTAGAGAGACACCAGCTACTCCTTTTATTATATTTTATCACACATTTAAAAATTATTAATTACGTATGGAATTTTTAGTTTAAATTAGCTGAGACTTCATTTTAAAAATAAAAGACTGCCCTCCAGTTTTCAAATGTGTGATAACACAATCAAAACTTAACCTAGTGTGACTAGTAAGAATATTTTTTGTGAACCCAGCCATAGGCAGTTTAGACTCATTTTATGTATATTGTATTTTTAATTCTAGTACATAAGATTTTTATTAGTGGAAACAAGGAGAAAGTTTAAGATAGTAAAATTTACTTATACCCCTTTGTAAAAAAAAAAAAAAAAAAAAAAAATCTCTCTTTTTCCCCTCCTCAGTTTTTCCAGAGGCCTCAAATACAGCCTCCTAGAGCTACCATCCCGAACAGCAGTCCTTCTATTCGTCCTGGTGCACAGACACCCACTGCAGTATATCAGGCCAATCAGCACATCATGATGGTTAACCATCTGCCCATGCCGTACCCAGTGCCCCAGGGTCCTCAGTACTGTATACCACAGGTAAAGTATCTCTCAGGTCCTGGTGGTCCAGAGGAGAGTGGGGATTAACTGAGATTCTCATCAGGGACCACAGGAAAGGTGGATGATAGCATTAGTGTTTAGTGATGTGTAAACTTTTTTGTTGGTTAGAAGTCCAGCCATTTTGTCGTTTTCCATAATATTACAAAAATATATTTCTATGTCTCCTTAAAACTTTCTAAGATGATGCAGAAATTGTTTTTATCTCCCGGCTTTTCTCCCATCCCTTCCCAACACCAGTACCCATAATTAAGCTGTTCCTGTGATATTATTCAATGTCAGTGAAAGCTACCAACCTGAATTAATTTTATAAGGAAGGAGCTCATGTCTGCTTGTGTACCAGTATGCTGTATGGCTTTGCTTAAGGCATATCTTTCTCTTCATTATCATCACATCTTGATGGCAAGCAAGCATTTTGAATGTGTTTAATCACGTGGCTTCTCATTTAAATGATCTTCTTATACACACACACACACACACACACACACACGAAACTTTTTCATAGTAAGCTACCTTCATACTATTTATAAATGTCTAATTTCTCTCTTCTAGTACCGTCATAGTGGCCCTCCTTATGTCGGGCCCCCCCAACAATATCCAGTTCAACCACCGGGGCCAGGTCCTTTTTACCCCGGACCAGGACCTGGAGACTTCCCCAATGCTTATGGTGAGTATGAAAAGTTGAACAATTTCTGTTAATTTGTTGTATTTAATCCATTTTGTTGTTTGACAGTAAAGGTTAGGCAATGAGATCTAGTGTGTTCTGAAGTTATTTGCAGAAAAAATGTTACAAACAGTTCTGACCTGAAAGCTACTTCTTAGAGAATGGCTTACATTGAAAGATTATTATAGAAATGTATTTAGTTTTAATGACACCTTCTGCAGGAGTTGGTAATTCTTTTGCCAAGAGCTCATGCCTTGAGGTTATAATATTTTGGCAGATATGTATTTTTAAAATTTTTTTATTGTTTAAAGTATTACTTTTTCCCCCATTGACCCTTCCCTGGTCACTCCCACCCCCGGGACAAGCCCCCAGCACCCCAGTGTCTGTGTCCATTGGTTATGCTAATATCATTCATACAAGTACTTTGGCTGCTCTATTACATCCCTCCTACCACCCTCTCCCCTACCTTCTCTCTAAGGTTTGATAGTTCATTCGGTGCTTCTCTGTCTCTGGATTCATTTTTATTCATCAGTCTATGCTGTTCATCATATTCCACAAATGAGTGAGATCATGTGATATTTATCTTTCTCTGAGTGGTTTATTTCACTTAGCATAATGCTCTCCAGGTCCATCCATGCTGTTGCAAATGGTAAAAGTTCCTTCTTTTTTATAGCAGTGTAGTATTCCATTGTGTAGATGTACCACAGTTTTCTAATCCACTTATTTACTGATGTGCCCTTAGGCTGTTTCCAAATCTTAGCTATTGTAAATTGTGCTGCTATGAACATAGGGGTTCTTTTTGATTGGTGTTTCTGATTTCTTGGAATGTAGTCCTAAAAGTGGGATTACTAGGCTGATGGGGAGTTCCATTTTTAATTTCTTAAGGAAAGTCCATACTGTTTTCTACATTGGCTGCACCAGTCTGCATTCCCACCAGCAGTGCACAAGGGTTGTTTTTTCTCCACATCCTTGCAAGCACTTGTTGTTTGCTGATTTGTTCTGACAAGTGTGAGATGGTACCTCATTGTCATTTTGATTTGCATCTCTCAGATGATTAGTGACTTTGAACATGTTTTCATGTGTCTCTTGGCATTCCCTATATCTACTTTTGAAAAGTGTCTATTATTTAGGTCCTTTGCCCATATTTTGATTGGATTTTTTATCTTCGTTTTGTTAAGTTGTAGGAGTTCCCTATAAATTTTGGAGATTAAACCCTTATTAGAGTTAACATTGGCAAATACGTTCTCCCATGCAGTGGGCTTTCTTGTTGTTTTGTTGATGGTTTCTTTTGCTGTGCAGAAGCTTTTAATTTTGATGTAGTCCCATTTGCTTATTTTCTTCTTAGTTTCCTTGGCAGGTATTTTAATTTTAAAGTTGGTCACTAGTTAATATACTTTTTTCCAAATTAAAAGTTCTTTTCTAATACCTTATAAATTATAGGTCCTTCAGCTATACCACCTTGGGCAACTGTTCTGGTCTTGCTGATTAGAAGTCATAGACATTTCCTTTCCTATTTTCTCTTCTTGGAATCTCTTCTATTCTTACCTTTCCATTTCCAGTTCTGATCTTGATGCCTCCTTTCCTCTACCACTTTTCCTTTTCTAACTTTGGGTTCCAGTTAAAAATAGGTTTGGGGGTGGGATCCTAGATCTACGTTCTGAAAAGGGAGTCCTCTCTTCTGAGACAGAGGGTCCTTTCTGTGGCTGAACTGCCAGGAACAAATCTGAGACTTGTTCCTTCTAGCTCTACTGCTGGGGTTTGTGAGTTGGATAATATTTTCCCCAGACTTCTTAGTTCTTTATCCTTAGCTTTGCAATTTACTCAACACACTAACATTTTATTTCCCTACTCGGTTTAAATATTGAACCGTGATTTTCAAAGAATATTCTTACAGCCTGACCAACATGGATCAGTGGTTGAGTGTCAGCCTATGAACCAGGAGTTCACAGTTCACTTTCTGGCCAAGGCAAATGCCCAGCTTGCTGCAGGCAGCCAATCAATGATTCTCTCTCATCATTGATGTTTCTGTTTCTTTCTCCCTCTCCCTTCCTCTCTGAAATCAATAAAAATACAGTTAAAAGAAAAAAAAGAATATTCTTTCCCACACTGAATTTCAGTAACCACAATTATAGAATTTTGTTTAGAAAATATAATTCTTGCAGCATTTCTGCAATGTTGAGGAAAAATAATGCAGAAATAGTATTTGTTCAATGTTATTTTTCAGTTTTGCTCTCAGTGTTTTTTTTGTTTGTTTGTTTGTTTGTTTGTTTGTTTTTTTAATATATTTTATTGATTTTTTTACAGAGTGGAAGGGAGAGGGATAGAAAGCTAGAAAAGAGAAACATCGACCAGCTGCCTCCTACATACCCCCTACTGGGGATATACCTGCAACAAAGGTACATGCCCTTGACCGGAATCGAACCTGGGACCGCAGGCTGATGCTCTATCCACTAAGCTAAACCAATTTTGGCTCATCAGTGTTTTTTAAATATTTTGATGCCTGTTATATCAGAAAAATATGTCATAGAGATTAAAATCATTACCAGCCAACTTAAGGGTGTGATGGCCCAAGATGAAAAAATTAGGTTTAGAGCAAAGAGCTATGTATTGTTAGTGGTGGTAGTGAGGTTGAAAAAGGAAAACAAAAAAGAATTTACAGTAGTAGAAGATCTCATTCTCCCTTGCTTCAAACCAATATACTCCTTTTTCTCACTCTGCAATATCATTCTCTTCTCCCTTGTCATCTTCTCACTCTTGTTTTGTGTTTTATCCTACTATATTGAGATTATCTTGATCTGCCAGGATTAATCATTTGGTATTTACTGCATGTATAATATGTGGAAGCCTCTGTCTCAGTCATGTTGACTCAAAAATGTTTCATTAGCAGAATCTGACTTTTTTAGAGATGGTTCACCTTTTGTATCCTATTTCACTTAGCTTAAAAAATATGGCAAAGTGAGCAGATTGTATTGCTTCTCTTGCAGCATTTGAAACCAGTATTAGGATTTTATGTTCTGTATTTTGGGGCTAGTGATGTAATAGAGTAGCATAAATCACTTATTTGAGCTCTCCTTTGGGAATAGTTTACTCAACACTAAAGGATGGCTAAGGTTTTTTGTCATTTTACAGTGAACTTATTGAAGTCTCAGTCATGTCCTCTGATTATATATTTTCCAGATCTGAATCTCTAAGCTTGGTTGATACATGCAGAGTTCTGGTACTGCAAAGTGGTGGGCATAGGGATGATGATGTCATGTAATGAGAGTAATAATAGTGCTGATATTATTTGACTGCTCAAGTACCAAGGATTTTACCTGTATCAATTACTTTTCATATACACTTCATTCCTTCTTGTTATCCAACTATTCATGCCCCCCACCAAAGGCCAATCTTCTACTTGTGCATTAGATTTCATCATGTACCCATTTAAGGTTATTATTCTAGCAGTTCACTTCTCTGTTTTTCTGCATTATCATTTTTTTTTCTCTGCTGGATTAGTCCAATCAGCCTATAGGTATACTGTTTTGTTCCCTTTTTAAAAAAAATAAATATATATATTTTATTGATTTTTTTCATAGAGAGGAAGGGAGAGGGACAGAAAGTCAGAAACATCGATGAGAGAGAAACATTGATCGCTGCCTGCTGGACACTCCCCATTGGGGATGTGCCCGCAACCAAGGCACATACCCTTGACCGGAATCGAACTTGGGACCCTTCAGTCCACTGAGCCAAACTGGTTAGGGCTCTTTTTTCTTTTTTTTTAATAAAGTTTTTTTTTTCTCTCTACATTTTTGTTTTTCTGATTCCCATCATAGCAAAACGTTTTAGAAAAAGAGCTGTGTATGCTTACTTTTTTTTATTTTCTTTTATCTAATTCAGTGTTGAATGTACCCTAATCAGGATGCAAGCCAGTACCTTACCCAAACAACTTTTGCCAAGCTCACCAGTGAATTGTGCTTTGCTAAATCTTAGTTGCTATCTCAGCACCATTTGACATAGTTAAATACTTTCCCCATTCTCGAGCCATTTTCTTCATTTCAGCTACTGCATTGGTTTTTGTTTTTTCTTCTTCATCTCCTTTGCTGGGATTTCTTCATGCTATGACCTCATGGTTTAAATGTTGTCCGTATTATACTTATTCCAAAATGATACCAGTTCGTTGACTCCAGGCTTGTATCTCTTCCTGCCTACTTGATACCTCCATTTTGAAGGTCTAATAAGAATCTCAAATTTACATGTTCAAACTTAAACCTCGATTTTTCTCCCCTCTACTTTTCCTCCAGTATTCCTCATTTTAGTAATTTAATAAATTATATAGTATATAGCGTTTTCATTCTTCCCTTTGCTAAGACAAAAAAAAAACTTTGAGAGTTTTCTTTGACACCCCTTTCTCAGTCACATTCACATGTATTATAATACAGTAGCAAATCTGTAGGTTCCGTCTTCAAAATATCTGACCCCTTATCACCACATTTACTCTAAGCACTCTGGTTTAATAGTAATTATAAGAACAGTCAAAATTTTGAAAGTTAAAAAAATAGGACATTTGCCAAGCCTTCATGTTGGCTTTCTGTGGCAGTGGATCTTCATAAGTAGGGAGAAGAATTAGACAACTCCAAACCCCCAAGATGATAAAAAATATTTTATTGTTGCTGATCAAACCCACAATAAAACACACTTTTAAAACCTTGCTGAGAATCACTGTTGGGGATAATGGGCTTCCAGAATAGAGTTTTTAGAGCAGTGCTGTAGTACGATTAGTGTTTTGGAAAGGTAACTAGTGGTAGTCAGCAGGGATTGGTTATTTGTTTTTATAGAGATGCTAAAGAAGAAATGTTTATGCGTATTTGGAAATCATTTCTTGGTTACTTCATTAGCTAGTGGGAAAAGATGAATAAGAATGCTTGTTTTTGTTACTTTATTAAACTGTTGGTACCGTGGCAAGGTGCCATTTATGGTCTTACAGCGATTAACAAAATAACTGAATACTTCCTTCATTCTTTTCTGATTCTTTAGGAACACCTTTTTATCCAAGTCAGCCAGTGTATCAGTCAGCACCTATCATAGTGGCTACCCAGCAGCAGCCCCCTCCAGCCAAGAGAGAGAAAAAAACAGTAAGAGATCTTATTAATTTTTCTTATTTTAAATTGGATGTCCATTCACTTGTTAAATAAGTTACTCACAGTTGTAATCATTATTCATCTTAGTTCACAAATGACTGCCATTTTTTCTTCTTTTATATCCTCACCTAGAAGGGCATTTAACTAGAAGTTGCAAGTAGCCTTGCTTATTATCAGTTCCCAACAGGCACCAAGCAGGTATGTGAAGTGACAACATGCCCTCCAGCTTCAGAATTGGGAGGATTTAGTCTGCTAAGGTCTACTAAATGGGAGGAATTTGAGGTCAGTTGTCACATCCTGATTGTCCTTTAACTGTTGTCCTAATCTTCTCCACATTCAAGTATGAACTGATCGGAAAAAATAGCACAAGATAAAATGAGCAAAATGTTAAGGTCAACAAGAAAAATCTTTCCTGTGGAAGATATTTATTTTAAGAAACAGAAAGCAGAATTTAGAAAATGTATTCTAATTGTTTTTAGTAAGTTAAAGGGGCTTTGCCTTTGTCTAGTAAGGCAGGCCCAAGAGAATTAGAGTAGAGTCATAAAATGTACATTGCATAAAGGAAGGTGAAGGGATTAGTTAAAGGACTTATATGCATAGCCTGTGGACACAGACAGATAGTGTGGGATGAGCAAAGGGGGGGTTAGGGAGAGGTGGGCAAAGGAGAGGGAATGGGGGAACATCTGCAAGAGTGTCAATAATAAAAACTTTAAATTTAAAAAATGTGAATGTATACGTAAAAAAAAAATTCACATCGCAGAACATTTTGTAGAAGATGGCTTGCAATCTTTTATCTATCAGATCACTCAAAATGGGTGATGTTTATGAAGGACTCCCCCATTCATATGGTTAAGATAGATGGACATAGCATCATAGCAATATTCTTGAAAATACTCTCATTTAATAAAGTGTAGTGAAGTTCAAAACTTTGGTTCTTTATTATCATAAACAAATTAACAAAATAAAAGGACATGCCCGTATATGATGACACTAAAGTTGAGAAACTATGCTTTGAAAGTGTTGAAACAGCATAGTAGATGTTGGACTTGAAGAACACTTTCAGAATGCAGGAAAATTAATAAAGCAGACAATGAAAATGGGGGACAGGAATAGTAGTTACTGAAGAAGAAAATAGAAGGTGAATTAGAAGCAATACTTAAAACTATATTTGAAACAAGCTTTCAAACCTGAAAGACATAGCTGATATTTATAATCTTACTGAAGAAACTACTTTCAAAAAAGCTTTGAGATCCAGATGGTTTTATTAGTGAATTTTTTAAAATTTTCAATAAGCCAGGGCTACCGTCATTAAGCACTGGAGGTAATGACAAACCTGTATATCTTAGCAATGTTCGAGATGGACGACCTAGACCCAGGTATTCCAACACTATTGTAGAACCAGTGTCTACTGACATCTATTTAAGCATAAGTAGTCTTAAAAAATTAAAACAAGAAGGCCATAAACATTGTTCTGCATTTTGCCTCTTTTCGCTTACCAATACATCTTGATGTTCATTCCATATCAGTACATGTAGATCAGTCTCATTCTTTCAACTGGCTATTTGGTATTTAACTGAAAGGAAATGGCATAATTTCTTAACTACTGTGTTCATCAGCCTGTAAGATATTTCTGTCTGCAGCAAAAAAGTAACATTGCAGGAATCCTTACATCTATATATAAAAGCCTAAGTAATTGAACGACCGGTCGCTATGATGCATACTGACCACCAGGGGGAAGATACTCAGCACAGGAGCTGCCCCCTGCTTGTCAGTGCGCTCCCACAGCAGGTGTCTGGACTGGGGAGCACCAGACATCAGGCTCACAGCTGGCAAGGGCGCCTGCAGCATGCTACTGAGCAGTGGCGCCAGCAGGTGCAGCAGGGTCAGGATGAGCAGGAGCCAGGCTTGGACTCCTCCCAACTATCTGCTTCTTTGTGCGTTGCTACATCCCTTAAAGGGTCCTGGATTGGTCTCTGATTGTGAGAGGGCGCAGGCCAGGCTGAGAGTGCATGAATCCATGCACTGGGTCTCTAGTACATATATAAGGTTAACTATAACATAAGTTCCTATTTCTGAGTTCTTGGATTTGTACATTTATCATTTTGTTAGAGAACCATTTAAAGCCTTTAAAACTTCGTTGTACAGAGTAAGTTCCATAATTTAAAACTATTCTATGGATCTTATCTTTTTTAACATCACTCATTTGGCACTGCTTACAGGATAAATGTTCATACTTTGCTTATTTGGCCTAGAAATTCAGCCAACTAAGTCTCAGTTAGTTTGTTATTTAATTAGTTCATGTCAGAGCAAATGGCCTACATTTTTCTGAATGACCCCATATAGTTCTGTGATTGAAATAAAATCAAATATGGTGATTATCAACTTTGATATTTGACCAGTTTTTCAGTTTTGCACCTATAATACATTATCTGCGTGTAAATCTACTACAGAGACACCCTATCTGTAAATATGATGTCTTTTTGTAATCTTATAGATAAGAATCAGGGATCCAAACCAAGGAGGTAAAGACATAACAGAGGAGATTATGTCTGGAGGTGGCAGCAGAAATCCTACTCCACCCATCGGGAGACCCTCATCCACACCTACTCCTCCCCAGGTAAGTTGGAGTAAGCCATGATGGATAATGGTATGTATTTGTTCACTAACCTCCACTGAAATGTTTTCCTATAGCTGCTCTCTGTACTTTCCATTTCCATCAGTTGTCTCATAGCCTCGAATATCTAAATGATATTTAAACAGACATTGTTTCTCTTTACAAATTGTTATACAGTAACTACAAATTTTTATTGATGATATTTCTGTGTATTGTCTTCCCATTCAGAGCATAGCTGCTGCCACTTTTCCTATTGCTGCTAAAAAGGAGCTGCTTTTAAACTTCATCCTTAAATGAGTGTTTTGTTTTAAATATGGAGCCTTAAGAATTTAACGGTGCCACTACATTAATGCAAACTGTAAAGTTGAGAACTTAAACATTTGTACTGAATGATATTGCTTGAGATGATTATCTGTATTACTCAGAGCATAGTTAGATGTATTATAGGCACAGCTCTTCCCTTTTAGTACTACATGAATGGGATTCTTTAGTGGAGGGGTCTTTTTAAATTATTTGCAGAGGTTATGAGTAAATTATATTAGTTCTAGCACCTTTTTGTTCCTATTGCAGAAGTGGCTATGATGGTCTTAAGAGTTCACTGTCTTGCTGTTAGAAATCAAGACTTCTTGGGAAGAGCCAGAGTTTAGTAAACTTCAATAGAGAATGGAATGCCCAACTTTGAAAGGATTTTGATTTCCTCACTGGGTTACTAATAAATTTCGTTAAAACTATTCAGAGGACATGCGTGATTTTCAGATGTTCAGATTATCTAAAGTGAAAGCCCAGCATGTAAAAACATAAAACCAAAGTTATTAGGAGTGAGAGGCTGTTTGCTCCCCCACGTTGTGGTGAGGTGAGGTATTCCTCAGAGCCCAGTTTACTACAAGTGATATGGATAATCAAATGTAATGTATTAAGAATGATAGGCTATTAACTTTAGTAGCATAGGTTTTAAAAGTTCTTTAAAACTTTCTTAATAATTAAATCCATGAATACTTGGAATTAAGCAAAAAACCACCTCATAGGCCCAGACAAAAATACGATGACCACTAAAGGAAAAGTTGGTGTTTAGGGGAGAATATATAGTGATGGAAAGAGACTTGATTTGGGGTGGTGAATACCCAATACAATATACAGAGAATGTATTAATAGAATTGTATATCTGAAACCTATATAATTTTATTATCCAGTGTCACCCCAGTAATTTCCACAAAAAGGAATAAATAAAATGCCATCTTTATGGGGGGAGGGCAATGCAGGAAGGACAAATGCCTGTCCATGTTTAAAGATCCTTGAAAATCTGTGCATTTTTATTAAGTCTAACACTTGGGCCTTTGTGTGATGATATGTTTTGCTTGTAAATGATGGTAGTCGCTGGCTGACATTTGTCTTAATCTTCCGCCCTCTAAGTAAGTGTAATATATAGCCATCTAGATATGTGAATTGTAAGGTCATATTAATGTTTGTTAATAGGACTTTTAACCATTTCCCATTATTTCTCCAGGGATATTTCAAGTCTGGAATGATCAAGGCGACCTTATATTTAAAGTTGTCTCTGGAAGTAAACATGGGACAAGTAGCATTTACACATTTAAATTATCTCCTTATGTGCTCTGTTATACTATTTGCTATAGTATAGCAATCGGTTACTAAGTAGGGATTATAAAAAAGGTGACCAAATAATGTATCATCTAAATTAGGACTAGTTTAGAAATAAATGGGAATGCTATTAATCATTTTGCTGGGATAATAGACATAAAACTGTCCAGGTAAACAGGGATGCATGGTTCCCCTAGATGTAAGAGAGATGGAGGGGTCAGAGATGTCTTCAAGCTGAGGGGCCTAGATTTATAGAGTAACACACAGCAGGGAGTATACATGAGGATGTTTAAAGAAGTGGATAATGAATTTGATTTTGGCAAGCATGCAAGCTAAGAAGAGTTAATTGAGGGAAACTGCATTGGGTGTATGTGAGGAAGCAGATTTTTGCTGCTCTGCTGCTGCTTTGCCCTAAAGATTTTGAAATTGTCCTGTTTCCTTAGTTTTTAAAATGAGCTATAGAATAACTCCTGGAGATTTTGTATCTCAAATATATTAAAAATATATATATTGTATATGTATACATGTGCCCATAAAGATGATCACAGACAGTGGTTGCTGCCTGGATGGACATCATAGAGCTGGTCTCCACTCTGTCACTGAGATTTATAACCTTGGGCCAGAACATCAAATTCTTTAAACCCCTATTTTTTTCATTTGTATTTGTACAAATGTGATTGTACTATGTAATCTCAGAATTCCCTTTTAGCTCAAATATTAAAGTGAGAAAGAAGGGGAAATTTTTGCTTTTCATCAGCATAAAAATCTCTCAGTTATATATCTGTTGTTAGCAATTAGGCACAAAGAATATTTCTATGTTAATAAATGTGCTAGCTGTCTGAAAGTTGCTATGGAACCCTGTAGGGTAAAAATAGGTACATGATGCCAAGGCTTCCAAAATTGTCTGCTTCCAAAAGAATGGTCTTGTATATAAAACCACTTAGTTTTTTTAATGAACTACCTACCTTTCTTCCTCTCCCTACACCCTTTGGTTCTTTTTTCTTTTCTGTTAAGATTATTTATGTTAAGAATTACTCTTATAGTGAAACACAATTATAACTTGGGAGAATGTCCTATGCCATAGGGTGTAGGGACAGATTAAAGGTAGGAAATTCTTGATTGCTGGCACGTCTTAGCTTTTCCTGTCATTTGGGAAAATTCAAAGTCAGCAGGTTCTCAGGTTTTTGAAGAGCTTCTTAGAAATTGGATACCTGGAAACTTTAAAGAATTGTAGAGTAGGGTTGTTGATTTCATCAGGTCTGTCTCCAACAGGGTATTGTCTTGAATTTTTAATAAAAATAATATTCTTCATTCCTTAAACAAGAAAACAAAATTTGACATAAGGTTGCTGTTGAGATACTGTTTCGCCTTTTGGAAGCCAGAGGATTGAGTATTTTTTAAGTTGTTTTGGCATCCCAATAATGATCCACTTATGAGAATTAATAACATTAAATTTTATTGTATTTTAAATGATTCTTTGTTTTTGTACTACGTTTTTTCATAAATCACCAACAAATTTTGTGAAAGCCTTTGCTGTTAGGCAATAAAGTACTATTATTAAATACTAGAGGCCCAGTGCATGAAATTCATGCATGGGAGTTCCCTCAGCTCAGCATGTACCCTCTCCAATCTGGGACCCCTCGGGGGATGTCTGACTGCCGGTTTAGGCCCGATATGACTGCCAGTTTAGGCCAGTCATAGGAATCGGGCCTAAACCAGCAGTCTGACATCCCTCTCACAATCCGGGACCACTGGCTCCTGATTGCCCCTAACTCCCCCCTCACCCCCCCCCCCCCAGCCTAATCGCCCACAACTGCCTCCCCTGTCAGCCTGGTCACCCCCAACTGCTCCCCCCCCCCCCCCAATCTGATCACCCCTTACTGCCAACCTTGCCAGCCTGGTCATTCCCCTCACCCCCCCCCCCCCACTGACCTGGTTACCCCACGCAGCCTGCTGTTCAGTTGTTTGGTCATCCCTCACTAACCACCCTGCTGACCTTGTCACCCCACGCAGCCTGCTGTTTGGTCGTTACTGTTACTGTGACAGCATCTTGTACAATTTGCATATTCTTCTTATTATTATAGATAGCAGTATTATTTTACCTTAGATACTCTAAGTCTTAATCCTAATTATATAATAAAGAAAGTGTGACTCAAATTTTTGCATGGACAGCAAAATTCTTCCCTTACCACTTACTACAAGTCATACACTAAACATTGCAGCTTGTAATAATCTTGCAACCATGATTATAGTTGTAGGGGATCACAAGTATTGTAAAATCCCCCTCTACTGCCCCCCCCCCCCATCCTCATCCATAGGTGTAAGATTTTGGTGCAGTCTCTTCTCCCACCACCCACACCACTTTCCCCCGCGAATTATCAGTCCACTCCCTTTTTATGCCCCCAATACTATTATATTCACCAGCTTATTCTGTTCATCAGATTTTTTTATTCACTTGATTTTTAGATTCACTTGTTGATAGATAAGTTTTTGTTGCTCATAATTTTTTTCTTTAACTTTTTCTTCTTCCAGCATTTCATATAATATTGGTTTGGTGGGGATGAACTCCTTTAGCTTTTTTTTTTTTTTTTTTTTTTTTTAATCTGTGAAGCTCTTTATTTGACCTTCAATTCTGAATGATAGCTTTGCTAGGTAGAGTAATCTTGGTTGTAGGTTCTTGCTATTCATCACTTTGAATATTTCTTGCCATTCCCTTCTGGCCTGCATAGTTTCTGTTGGGAAAATCAGTTAACAGTCACATGGGTGCTCCCTTGTAGGTAACTTTTTTCTCTTGCTATTTTTATTTTTTAAAATATATTTTATTGATTTTTCACAGAGAGGAAGAGAAAGGGATAGAGAGTTAGAAACATCAATAAGAGAGAAACATCGATCAGCTGCCTCCTACACCCCCCTGCCCCCCCACTAGGGATGTGCCCTCAATGCGCTTGACCGGAATCGAACCTGGGACCTTTCAGTCCTCAGGCCAACGCTCTATCCACTGAGCCAAGCCGGTTTCGGCTCTTGCTGCTTTTAATAGTCTCTCTTTGTCATTTGCTCTTGGCATTTCAATTATGATGTGTCTTGGTGTAGTCCTCTTTGGATTCCTTTTGTTTGGGGTTCTGTGTACTTCCTGGACTTGTAAGTCTATTTCTTTCACCAGGTAGGGAAAGTTTTCTGTCATTATTTCTTCAAATAGTTTTTCAGTATCTTGCTCTCTCTCTCTTCTTCTGGCTCCCCCATAATTCAGATGTTGGTAAGCTTGAAGTTGTCCCTGAGGCTTCTTACACTATCTTCATATTTTTGCATTCTTTTTTCTCTTTTCTTTTCTGGTTGGGTGTTTTTTACTTCTTTGTATTTCATATCTTTGACTTAATTCTTGCGATTCTGCTGTTGGATCGCTATAT